TCCAATAATTTGGTTTGTTTCGAAGCTGCCAAAACATGTTTGTTTTTGTCGTGCAGTGTTATTTTTCCATTCCTCGTTGCCTTTTCTTGTTTCCTCTGTCTATTTCTCCTTTTCTTTCGGGCCCGGCAACCACACACACGCACTCGTAAACATATTGCACTCTCCGCACAGTTCTGGTTTGAAAACGTAAAAGAATGGGCGTAAAAGGTGTAGGTATTGTTCGAAAATATATTGCAGTTCATTATCGATATATCGATACTTACAAATATCGCTGAGGCGATTCTAAAGTGAATTAAAATGTAAAATATTCAACAATATGGCTGAACCACCGAATCTCACGGCCCGAGAAGTGCAGCAGGTATTTGCAGAGATTCTCAGCCATGGCGAGGACATCACCTGGGATCTGTGAGTGCCCGCCCAAAAATCCTTTGTCCCTCACTTAAAATCTATAGATGGCCAATCCCTGACCTGACAGATTGCTGCAGAATCAACGAGACATTCTAAAAAGGAAAGTTCGAGAAATATTTAATCAGAGACATAAATAATTCTGGACAACGTTTGGACTCTACGTAAGCAGACTCCGCGAAACAGCAGCTCCGTCACTAATCCAGACGTACATACATAACTTTAGGTAAATGCGCCAACGGCCAGTCCCTTTCTGCGTTGTTCTTTGCGGTTATTGTGAATGGAGTGACCGACTTGAAGGAGGCAGAGAATAGCAGATCCTGGTCGATCCACCCAGTTTTCCGCTGCCGTCGCTGCGATGGTAATGTCGTACATTAAAGTAGTTTCAAATTGATCCAATTGCATATGCCTATCACTATATCCACGGATGGAGGGATGAGCAGCAGCCCAGACTGTTGCGTGATGTATGTGGATCAAAGCGGGCTCTTTGAGGACTGGGATACATACTTAAAGCGCACAGCTCTTCCCGCAGGTTATGGTAACCTGGGATCGAGGAGTCTACAAACTGATCGATGGCCAGGTTGAGCTAAAAAGCTTATTTGATAACGGAGAAAATGTACACACGCAATGCGTGCTTCATAACGTCTGAAGGTCTGAAGGCAGCCTTGGAATTTCCTGGAGTGCATCGGCTTTACTCGGAATCAAGATCTAGATATATATTGCAAGTAACATGCAATGCAATTCTACTACACATATAAGAGCGAGCGACAAAGTGCTATACCTGCTTTTGTATGATACTTTTAATCTCTGGTATATGTATGAGAAACGTTCTATTTGTGCTCCCTCAGAGGCGTGTTGATGGGGGGAAGGTCGATACTCTAAGTGCATGCCTGCTCTCCGAGTCGTTGGTTCTGTTTACGCACAGCGTCAATAACTTTCGCCTGGCGTCTGAAATGGTCAACAAAGCCACTTATCGCACAAGCCTAAGCAGCTACGTACAGTAAAGTACTATCCATGAAGACCTGCCAGACTAATGACTTTGTTTTTGCAGGAACACCTTTAAGAAGATCTTCGAAGAAGCCAAGGCCATGGAGTCGTCCACTCAAGGCAAGCTGGACCTCCTACGCAGCGTCAATGGGGTACCCACAAAAAAGGAGCTCAAAAAACTATTGAAAACTAGTGGAGTTGGTGGCCGCATTTCGGGTGAACCGAAACTACCCGTTGAACCTACTAAGGTGCCACCAAATCTGCTGCAGATCCGTTCAATCAACATTAATGGTCAGGACATCCAATTGGCCGACTACGGAGAAGTTATCATTGCTAACATCTCAAGCGCTGAGAGCTTCGAGGATCTAATCACCAGTATGGCCGAGCACTGGAAGCCAAACATGTACAAGCTGATGCTCCGAATGACGCAGACCTTTGTGGAAGCACCGAAAAGGAGTTTTGGCTGAAGTACCACCTACCCACGGAATCGGTGCTCTATCAGATCATTCGACAAACACTGAAACACCATGCGAGCTTGGACCACAAAGAAGTCTCGGAGGCATTGCCTGATATTCTGAGAAGCGTGCGCTGCTATTTCGCCTCCCGCACTCCCCTTTGTCCACCAGAGTTTCTGAAGAAGTGCCCCAAGTGCGTGGGTTACTACAATGAGGGTACGCGGCAGGTGAATGAATCTAATGTTTGATCTGATATATTATACCTTACACTTGCAGATATGTAAGGTGCAATTGAATAGGTTTAATGTCCTACGGCACGAACACTTTTGGGTGTTTTTTTTTATTAGCTATCCTGTATGAAAATATATGTTTGTATATTTGAAATATCCAATTGAACAGCGATATTTAAAGAGCTGTCCAGCATTCTATGTACAGATCCTGAGGATCGCCTTCACGGACTTCAACATGGGTTCGGAGACCAATTGTAAACTGGATAATATTAAGTTCTAGAAGGTTATGCCAGATGCAAACGAGGAACTGGGGCAAACACTCTGTGGATCCACCATGCCCGATGACTTTGACGTGTATAGCAATCGTGCTGTGGTCGTTGGAAAGAAGTCGCCAAATTTTGATGGACTTGGCTTCCAGTTCTCATTCACCCTCAAGCACTTATTGATGAGAGTAAAAGCTTAAATATTAAATATTACATGTTAATATATAATACAGATTTATAATTTAGGTCTCCTCAATCGTTCTACTTGCAAAGACAACAAAAATCCTAAATGTCTAATCTGTCTATTAGTGATAGTTTCTGTTAATTGCCTTGCATCATTTCGTTCTTAGATTGACAAAGATATCCATGTCGTAGACCACGTTATGTATATTCCTGCGGAATGGCAAGACTCTGGCGGTGTCTTCAAAGGATTGCTTTACCTGCTGCAAGCGGCGATGGATCTCGGCCAAATCGTGCCGCTGTCCAATTGATAACTCCATGTCATTGAAGACCATGGCCGAGAACAGGCTGGCAGTCTCAGGGGAGATCTTGAATTAGTAGCCAACACTGAGTTTCTGCTTAATTGCCGCGTCATTAATGAGCACCGTGTGGGAGTCGGAGGCCTGCGCAGAGTCGGTAGACTAGGAGTGGAGTGAATGTGAATACAATTAAAATTTGTTGTAATAGTACACGGAACCCGGGAGATAAATGGCAACCATTGCGCGACCGGTCCGCTTTCAGGGCTAAGCGGAAGTCGTGCTTCGTGCACCTCTCGAGCCGTAACCCGTGCATGACTATCGGGACGAGCTACTCTGCAAAGCACGGATGCAGATCCAGCAGCCTCAGGCGCTTTTTGACCTTTGTTGGCAATTGACATGTGTTCACAAAAAGGTAGGACTTAGTGTAGAAATTTGTCACACGCTTCATGTGGAGTGAGATATTCAATTCGTTCCAGACAGAAACATCCTGTATATAAAGAAGCCGGCACAAGCCGCTGCGTACTGAATCAAGCTATCGTGTAGGTGTGGGAGAGTGGTGCGCAACGTCGTTGATACGGTCGAGGCTCAGATGTTTGCAATGAAGATCTCTTCATCTACAGTTTCATTCATGTTATTTAGTACATATTAGTTAAATCATAGTTCGAAACGGCTCACAGTTTCAATGGTATCTTTCATAAACTTATAAAATACTTATAAAATATCGATAGCCATCAACAGGTAGCATCAGATATAATTGTCCATTTTTATGCCGTTAAATTATGCTAANCATGACCGATGACTTTGACGTGTATAGCAATCGTGCTGTGGTCGTTGAAAAGAAGTCGCCAAATTTTGATGGACTTGGCTTCCAGTTCTCATTCACCCTCAAGCACTTATTGATGAGACATTTTCGAATTTATAATTTATAATGTAATTATATATTATGTCTAATATAATTTAGGTCTCGTCAATCGTTCTACTTGCAAAGACAACAAAAATCCTAAATGTCTAATCTGTCTATTAGTGATAGTTTCTGTTAATTTCCTTGCATCATTTCGTTCTTAGATTGACAAAGATATCCATGTCGTAGACCACGTTATGTGTATTCCTGCGGAATGGCAAGACTCTGGCGGTGTCTTCAAAGGATTGCTTTACCTGCTGCAAGCGGCGATGGATCTCGGCCAAATCGTGCCGCTGTCCAATTGATAACTCCATGTCATTGAAGACTATGGCCGAGAACAGGCTGGCAGTCTCAGGGGAGATCTTGAATTAGTAGCCAACACTGAGTTTCTGCTTAATTGCCGCGTCATTAATGAGCACCGTGTGGGAGTCGGAGGCCTGCGCAGAGTCGGTAGACTAGGAGTGGAGTGAATGTGAATACAATTAAAATTTGTTGTAATAGTTGTGCCTTGGGCCCTCTATTTACCGTTGGTAACGCGCTGGCCAGGCGAAAGTCCCGATTCGCCTTCAGCACGAAGCACGTGGAGAGCTCGGCATTGGGCACGTACTGATAGCCCTGCTCGATGAGACGAAAGCACGGATGCAGATCCAGCAGCCTCAGGCGCTTTTTGACCTTTGTTGGCAATTTATATGTGTTCACAATAGGTAGGACTTAGTGTAGAAATTTGTCACACGCTTCATGTGGAGTGAGATATTCAATTCGTTCCAGACAGAAACATCCTGTATATAAAGAAGCCGGCACAAGCCGCTGCGTACTGAATCAAGCTATCGTGTAGGTGTGGGAGAGTGGTGCGCAACGTCGTTGATACGGTCGAGGCTCAGATGTTTGCAATGAAGATCTCTTCATCTACAGTTTCATTCATATTATTATTTTTTTTTTTTTTTTGAGGTTTTAAGTTACCGCACTACCCTTAGGTAGAGGGGAATTATTTGGCCACCCGCCTTTACAAGGGGGAAATCGCCACGTCGTAATATGTAACTTGTTACAGCTTTGCTCCAATACTTACCTGGCGTATTTCATATTATTTAGTACATATTAGTTAAATCATAGTTCGAAACGGCTCACAGTTTCAATGGTATCTTTCATAAACTTATAAAATATCGATAGCCATCAACAGGTAGCATCAGATATAATTGTCCATTTGTATGCCGTTAAATTATGCTAAAATACTATTGCTTTTTACCCCGCGAGTGAACAATTTTAATTAGAATATTATGCGTATTCAAACAGTGCTTTGATTGGATTTAATTTCTGTATAAATGTGAAGCGATACTTCCATTTCAGTGCCGCCCATCCCTAATAAAATAATAAGCAAAGAAAACAACAAAAGGGAGAAAGAACTGGAATTTCAGTACATACATGAGATGTATGTATATTTACCAAAAGGGGCAATGCGCTTATGACTTTGGCAGCCATTTAATGAGTACTAATAATTACACTACTCGACAAGATTTTTCCGCTTCGATCCAGTTATGATAAAAAAAGAGAAGCGCCACCTCTAAAATAAATAGCTACCGTTACAAAAGAATACCCATTTAAAAATTCTTCAAACAAGTTGGTTTTGATTTTGTCGAGCAGTGTTATTTTTCCATTCCGCGTTGCCTTTCCTTGTTTTCTTCTGTCTATTTCTCCTTTTCTTTCGGGCCCGGCAACCACACACACGCACTCGTAAACATATTGCACTCTCTCTCTCCCACACAGTGTCTGGGTGCTCCGATTTAGTCTGATAACCAGAATTTGAAAGCTCCAGAATCTAGATATGTTTTTATTTAGATGTTGAAATCTAATTACATAATTATTAGTGGGTTTATATTATTATTATTTTTACCCGCCTGTAGTCCCTGCCAGATATATATCCATGGCTTTCTTATTTAGGATTACCGTCTCTCGACGCCTGGGTATTGGCTGTATGTTAGGCAGCCGAGTACCGTTCACTGCGTTAAGGCTCATATCAGAGCTTGTAAAATCATCAGAGTGATAATAACTAGGTAAATACACCCAATTCCGTACATCTGCCGCCACGTCACTGGGCGTCGGGCGGGGATCGTCGGGCGAGACGACCATTTGGGTGGTCCCACTGGACTGTGATGAACTTGTGATGGTTATGGCACTGTCCTGCCTAGCTACCGACGCCGGCGACGAGGACGAGGAGGACAGATTGAGCTCATGATTGCCCAAGCCGCGGTACAGCCGCTTCCGTTCGCGCTTGGCTTCCGCCACTGCACTGGTCGTCGGGCGGGGATCGTCGCTGGCTTCCGACGAGACCTGCCTAGCTACCGACGCCGGCGACGAGGACGAGGAGGACAGATTGCGCTCATGATTGTCCAAGCCGCGGTATAGCCGCTTCCGTTCGCGCTTCGGTTCCATCGGTTCCTTGTGTTTCGTACGCCAAATTACGAAAGCTTAGAGAAAGAAATATATACAAGTAGTAAGATTAGCTCCTGTGATCGAATTTATGTTTAAAGTGTAATTTTACCTCGATCAATAGTCTTGCGCGGCTCGCGTCCGTACAGTTTTGTTTTGAAAACGTGAAAGAATAGGCGTGTGAGAATCAATACAAAAGCTTAGCGATGACCAGGGCTCGGCACGGCCTTATCTATCATCTATTGTGAATAAGCAAGGCTCTGCCGAGGCGCTGCCGTTCACGTACACGGATATTACAGTGATTCGTACCAATACGAATGGATTGGGGTACCGTTTTGCGTGCGTCTTCAAACACAAACGAAAAAACGGTGCGTTCCCTGCTAAAGACCAACCGTACTTTCCCCCACCACCGAACACCATATGATGGTCTAATTACGCACAGCATGAACCTTTCCAGGTTTTATGAATAACCATAATTATTTAACATTTACCATCACTCTATTTTTTTTAGCAAATTTGTAAATTTTTTGATGCCTCCTCTCCGGTACTCATATTTAATTTATTTTTATTTCTATTCCATAATTAGCCGTTAATTCTAAATTGAAAATACATAAATAAATAAATACCATAAACCATATATTTTCTATAGTCAGATATTAATATATATTAATTTATATTTAGTTGTTCAGTGTTCATTAGTGGAATGAAGCTATATTAGCGAGCTTTCAAACTCCCTTAACAAAGCAAGGGAGTTTGCATGGTGCGTAATTTTGTACCAAAAACTAAGGTGTCGACAAGGCGCCAGGTAAATTACACAGGCTATTTAAATCCTACGTGGAGGAAATTTTCCAGGGAAATTCTCTCCCTCCAGACGCTCTCGCATGCACCATTAGGGATCTTTAAACAGGTGCGAAAGACGTGGGAGATGGAATAATTATTCCCTTTT